TCAATGGACAAAAGCTAATGCACTATTCAAACCACCTGTGATTAATCAGTGTCGAACTATTGAGCTAAAACTAATGAAATTATGGCACAAAGCAGTTGAAACATCACTTGGTAAAGGAAACTTGGCCAGGAAAAATGAATTTCTGCACACACTTGATACTCTGTTAGACATTTTGACCTGCAAGTGCTCCATACAATTATGTTCTGAATCCAACTGTTCTCACTCAGGTAAGAGAGAAAATAATTCCCACATTGATTGTGGTTGTCCTCGTGAAAAGAAGATCCCTGTTTTAGAGCTTGAATTTATAAAGGCACAGAGGACAAAGGCAGAAGGCCAAGGAAGTATGCAAATGGGTTCAATAGATTATTCAGAAACAAAGAAGCAGATTGTTAATGCCAAGAAGAGAGAACAAATCCGAGAGAGGGAACAAAAGAAGAAAATGAAGAGTGAAGAAGCCATCCAAAGAGAGGAAGAGCTGTGTCAAGATGTTTATCACTTCTTTGATAGTTCTTCTGATGAACAGGAAGCAACATCAGATGATAGTTCCAAAGAGCCATTTGAACCTTTACCAAAGAAAATGAAATACAACACAAGAAATATTTCAAACATTGCTTTAGCTAGTATTCGCCACCATGCTGGACTTCGTGAGGCTGCAGAAATTGCAACTGCCGCTTGGATAGATGCAGGCCTCATCAGCCGAGAGGATGTATCTTTGGTGATAGATCATAATAAAATTAGAAGAGCACAAGAAAAATAATGAAGGAAATATCTGATCAGCATGAAAAAGATTTAAGCGAGGGAGGGCTCTCCTGTCTTTTGTTTGATGGAAGAATAGATGACACAAAAGTTTTGCTAGAAGTAGAGGGAGTGAACAGAAAGTTTCCAGGTCTCATCAAAGAAGAACACTACTCTGTCTGTTCTGAGCCTGGTGGTCGGTTTTTGTTTCACTTTGCTCCCGAAACTGAAGTAGAAGGGAAGAAACATGTAGAGGTCATTGCTGATCATATTTTATGTTGGGTTCAGGAGAGAGGACTTGGCAGTTCACTGCAGGCTGTTGGTGGAGATTCAACTGCAGTGAACACCGGATGGCAGGGGGGTGTAATGACGCATTTAGAGAAAAAACTAGGAAGAAGACTTGTTTTGATTGTATGTGATTTACATACAGGCGAGCTACCTCTTCGTCATCTCATCCAGGAACTTGATGGTCCTACAAAGAGCAACAACAAGTGGTCAGGTCCCCTTGGCATCATGCTGGATGAAGCAACACAACTAGAAATAAATACAACCTTTCCAAAGGTCGAAGTTGGCCCTCCCCTTCCGGCGTTGTCTGAAGGAGTCATCAAAGATCTTAGCACAGATCAATCCTATGCTTATCGTATTGCCCAAGCAATAAGATCAGGAGAAGTGCCTCAGTCATTGGCTCTCTTGGAGATTGGACCTGTCAGTCACAGCCGTTGGTTAACTACAGCTCTTCGTTTCTGCAGGATTTGGATTTCCAAACACGAATTGAAGGGCAAAGTGCTGAAGAATTTGAGGTTAATTGTTGAATTTATTATTGGAGTTTATCTTCCTCAGTGGTTTAGTGTGAAACTTAATCCTATGTGGGTGGATGGGCCCAATCACCTTTTGTTTCAATTGCAGCTAGTAAGAACACAGAGGAAGGTAGTGAGGGACATCGTGTTACCTGTGGCAAGAAGGTCAGCTTGGTATGCTCGATCAGAAGCAGTTTTGCAAGCAATGCTTTGCAGTCAATGTACCAATCTCCGAACCGAGGCTGTAGAAGTCATTCTAAAGATTAGAGGAACGCTAATAGATGACGACCAGTTGGGAGACTGTTCGTTTCATTCAAGAAAAGTTCCCCCAATAAACGTCAATGCCACCAAATTGTCAGAATTGGTTGACTTGAGTTTGGAAGTCTTAGAGCCACCATTGACAACAAGTCTAACTAGCCAAGAATTGAGAAACCTTAAAGAGACTCCAATGCAGGTGCCAAAGTGGCCTTCCCACACTCAAAGTGTGGAGAGATGTGTGAAAATGGTCACAGAAGCAGCGGGCCATGTTTACAGCCACGAGAGGCTAGAAGGTTACATCAAAGCACAAATAGCAAGCAGACTACTGATGACAAGAAACCAAAGCAAAGAGAGTATGAAGGCA